AGAAAGTGTGGTTTTATTAATGGATTAAAGGGTTTGGGATGGGAAATAAATAGGAGGTCTTGAATCAGATTTTAGGACAGATAATAGAGGAGAACAGATTAGAGAAAAAAAAAAGCCAGACAGATAGAGAGAGAGAGAAAAAAGAGAGCTGAATGTTTAAGAGAGAAAGAAAAAATTCCGAAACATATTAAAACTGTCAAATAAAAAAAAAATTAAAAAAAATCTTCTGCTTTCTTTCATTGTTTGAAATCAACATTAATTGTTGTTGTTTCATCAAAGCTTCAAGCTTTTGTTTTGGGATTACTGCTCCACCGGTTTGCAAACTCTATTCCTGGGTTGTTACTGTTGCTGGACTGTTGTTGTTGTGCTGTATTGTTATTACTACTGCTGATTCTCATCTTCATCTTCTTTTGTTTCCAATATCAGGTACACAACTGACACGCTGATTATTGTAAACTGAAACAGGAAGCATGAATACGAAAATGAAGAGTTGGAATTCTAAATTTACTTTAATTATATTCTGAAGTTTATTTGTATGTATAAATTATTTAGCTTGCAAAAATCAGAATCATATAGATATTTAATACATATAGTGGAACATCCGACGATAGCTTAACGGATAAACTATCTATATATTGCCTAAAAATAAATAAATTGTGTAGTAACTCCGTCGAGTCAAAAATCAAACGAATAGGCCATCTACTGGGAACTTGGTAGAAATATTGTTTAGTTAAATAATATTGGTTAATTTCAGCATGTAAATGGTCTAGGATTAAAATTAGATTGCTAAGTTTTTTTTTTTTTAATTTGACAAACTGAGAACATGCCTAATATAATGTAACTAGGTAATAACATGTGAATAATACGGCCCATGACTAGTTTTATGTCATACATGTTGGGCCTGAGCCCGCAGTGGCAACAGACTGTCCTGTTTGCATCATTTTCAGATTTTATGAATCATATTCGAAATCCATCTATAACAACTCAAGCATGTAAATAAATTAAGATATTTTCTCTTTTATTTTGTAGAGACAAATTTCAATAGAAAAATGTAGGCATTGTAGGACTGTCCTTTTAAAAATAAAATGAGATGAGCCTCGCCCAATAAAATGCACCAATTGCGGGGCCCTCAATAAATGTTTAATTGAGTATTTAGAATTCGGGATGGACTGTTTAGTGAATTCCACGGTCTTACCCATAAATAATAATACGTTAATCGCTTTAGGCACGATTTTAATAATAATACATTCTTAAACACGGGTGCGCATTTATGCGACCCAAATCCAAATCCCAAAACATTGAATAAAAATACGTTCCGGATCGCGGGTGCATTTTATGTGACGCAATCCAAAGGCATGTTTTTAAACGATGTTCACATTCTTTTAAAAATATAATAATAAAAGCGGTAAAGAGTTAAAACTTGCACATGAGCGCATAATTGTATAAAATCAGATAAACAAGCCGAATATGACAGTTGAGCGACCGTGCTAGAACCACGGAACTCGGGAATGCCTAACACCTTCTCCCGGGTTAACAGAATTCCTTATCCGGATTTTTGGTTCGCGGACTGTAATACAGAGTCATTCTTTTCCTCGATTCGGAATTAAAATAGGTGACTTGGGACACCCTAAATCTCCCAAGTGGCGACTCTGAAATAAACAAACAAATCTCGTTTCGATTGTCCTTTAATTGGAAAAACCTCCTGTACCCTCGCGGGGGCGGAAAAAGGAGGTGTGGCACATATGTCTAATAAAAAGGATACATATGTCTAATATGTGTTGCTAGCTGATACATTAATCTAATATTAGAGATTATTTATGACATGTATCTTTCTATATTATTTATATGATAATTTATCAATGTTCAACTAATCAGCTTTTTCTTCTTGACAATAAGGAAAATGCAGTAATCAAACCCAGTACAATAAAATAACACTTTAGATAAAACTTTATTTTTGCTCCAAAATACTGAAATTATATTTTATTTCTCGCTTTCCAAATCATCATAAAATCGATTGAATAAAAATCATTTCTTCGAAGATATGAAAGTGCCTTTCAATAAGTAATAATCGTAATTATAAATAAAACAATACAATATCAATCACAATCAGTACTGGAATTTTCATTCAGAAATTTTAAAGACGAATATTTACATTAAATAAACTTTGTCCAAAACAAAAAATAAAAATAAAAAAGCTACAAACTAAATCAATCAACATATGCCAGAAACAGCCCCTCTCTGTCTCAGCGACACATTGAGCAGCTCTTCTAACACGAGCCTTTGCCTTCAACTCCACGTCCTAAATTACTCAAGCGTAACTCACTTTCCTGTTAGATTTCATCCCTGACCAGTTTGCTCTAGCTGGACCTCTCTTCAATGCTTTTACTTTCAATGGATTATCCTTGCTCTGTCACACACACACACCCAAAAAAAAAAAAGAAGATTGTGATAAGTAATCTTGAATTGATGATTGTCAAGGTCAAATTAAGGAAAAAGAGCTAAATTTGCACTCAAGACTGGTCTAGCGGTCAACGAAGAGGGTGAAAACACATAAGACAAGGGCTAAGATATTTGGTTAAGTATTGATGGACAAAGTTATCCAATAAATCATGTGCTGGTAGAATATTGCAGGTAACCGGTGAAATCAACGACCACTGTTATAAAGGGGAAAAAAGGTGACTGGGAGGAAGAAAATATTTACCATAAGGCAAGTGCCAGCATCAACATCACAGACAGGATAATCATGAGGACAGCAGCTGTAGTTGTCATCACAGCAGGTAGCAGACTCATAAGGACAACATCCCCAGCCAAAACAGTATTCGCCATATTGATAAATGCAGCAGCAAGTAGTGCCCTGTGGGCAGCTATAGTACTCATCGCAAACAGTTGGTGGTGTTACAGGAGTAGGAGGAGATGGGCCAGGATTAGGAGGATTTGCGCCAGATTTGAGAGGATAAGATGCCTGCATTGCAATTCCACACTTTCCAGTTGTAGAATTAGCAAAATTGCGCTGCAGCTTGATGTAACCACTTTCTCCCCAGTTAGGACCCCATGAATTCCTCACAATCCAGTAATCTTCGCCATTTTCTGTTCCATAGCCAACTACAACTACACCATGGTCTAGTTGTGTTCCACAATATCCAGTGAAAACACCCTGCATGAATTGAATCAAAAAGGAAGTGTAAATAAGTAGTATATAGCTTTAAGTAGTAAACAAGGCACAATGAAGCCGTGTTTGCAGATTAGGCACACATGCATACTAAAATACAATAAGGAATTCAGAATTTAAAGTCAGTGAGTTCAGGTACAAATAACATATATATTCGAACTAGGCATTAGTCTAGATCCGCCCACGGGCTAAAAGAATACATTAAGACAATGGTTATCGTACCGAAGAGTAGTGCTGGAAAGCTCTGCCACCAGCTTCAATAGCAACACTAACCGGTTGATTTGCCACTGCCTTCATCAACGACTTCTCATCGTTTTCTGGAACATCTTCATACCCATCAATGGAGACAACACGGGCATTTTTCTGAATGACCAAATTTTGTCAGCAAATACTATATTTACTTGCTATATAGACTAACATTCTGAAATAGTACATAATATTTGGATGTTTTCTTGATAGTATGGTTAATTACTTACCCTGTATGGATCACAAGTACCATCTTGAGCATGGTAAGGGTAGTCATCTCCAGTGTCAATGCCACCATTATTTTTGATGAAATCAAAGGCATAATCCATGAGACCGCCATTACATCCCTGGTTATAACTCCTATCACAATCAACAAGCTCTTGCTCTGACAGGCTAATTAATTCACCCGTTACAATTTTATTTATTCCTTCAACCGCGCCAACCGTTGAGAATGCCCAGCAACTCCCTTCATTAGAAAATATGCAAGTTCAGCTCAAATTTCAAACCAGGATTCTATACATAACATAGATATAATGACATCTAACCAATCAACATATGGGATTCGTCATAATCAAACGGCAACCACCTAAGAAATTTGGCTCAAGCTTAATTTATATCGCGTAAAATTGTGGCCAATTCTGATTATCAACTTGTAAAAGCAAAATATATACCCTGACCTTTCAATCCAATCTTTTAAAACAAATTTAAAGAACTTATTTTAAGAATGTGTACATGGATATATTAAGATATAGACCAAAGACCTCTAAGTTTTAGATCTTCTTTGTATTTAGCCTATGGTGGGAGAGAGAGAACACTAGCATCCAAAGCAAATAAAAATTCCAACTTTATTTCACCGTCTAGAAAAAGAGGGGACAAAATACTAGTATATTAGGAAAATCAACTACCAGACAAAGCAGCAATTTATTTCTCAAATTCGTTGACTGAAATAACCATGAAAACAGAATCATAGCTACCCAATAGCAGATCATTGTCTGCATAAGACGACAACCTAGGTCAAACACAACATAAAAATCAAAACTTTTGACCCAAGACTCTTGTCAACCCTCCATTGAAACGCTTCCCCTTGGTCAAACAAACAACAAAAAGAACATGTTTACGATAAATAACAGAGTTTTCTTTCATAGGACAGTTTTAAACGATGAACAAACACTCACCGCATTGGCCTTGGTCTTTAACAGGGGCAACGGCGCCTTTCTCTCTCCAATCAACGGATTCCGGCAACTTTTCGCCGGCCTGAAAAGTGTAACGGTCGCTTTTAGGGTTCTTCATCAACCTCGTTTTCCTATCCAACCGTCCACCCACGAACATGGCACGGTATTCCTCGTTGGTAAGATCAGAGAATCGATTCAACCCAAGTTTATATGAGCGGTTCTCAGCGTTATGCTCGTCGATGAATCTTAAATTATCCTTAAAAATCTCAAATCGTTTCTCCTTCTCTCCAATGGCATTGTAATTCTTTCCGTGCTTAACAAGCCACGATTCGTACAATCCTCTGACTTCATCGTCAGTACGATGATGTGTTGTTCCCATCTGGCCGTGCTGTTCGTTGTAACTAATGATGGACATGTCAAGTGCAGATGAAAGAACAAAGAAGGTGAGAAGAAAGAACAAGAACGACCGGAAAAAAGCCATGGTTTTTTGTTTTTTTGTTTTTGTTTTGATCTTTTTTTGGGTTATTGCAGAGTCTTTATATGTATATATACAGATATTGAGGGAAACGGAATTTGTGTAGGAGGAGGAAGAGAGGTAGAAATTAGAAAACAAATTGAAGAAGGATGTGAATGGGTAATTAAATAAGGTTTTCAAAAAAAGATGGTGGAATGGTAAAGAGAAGATTGAATGAGGATATGGGGTTGTCTATATACAACCACGGCGTTGAAATAGGGAATTTAACAAGTTTCGTGCAATTCGTGAATTGTGCGAAGTTTTAAATGAGCTACTAATCATTCCATTAATAGGATTATGAAAATCTTGACCATTCACATTTTTATTCAACTAGTCTTAGAGATATTGTGCACAAACGTGTTTGAATTATCAACAAAAAATAAAAAATCTAAATTACTGGAAAAAATCATGAACTTTAATTACATTTATCTAACTTAATAAAGGAAGATCTCTTCTTTAAAAATGTCTAATTATTTGGACTTTCGTTAGGGATAGATTTAGGTTTTCACGCTATCCTTTTTAGGTAAATTCGATCGTTATCACGATAAGAGATAATACATGCTAACATATGTTGTTACTTCTTTAACTCAATAGTAATTGTTAATATCAGTTAGCCACATATTTCTAATTTGATATTTGTTCACGATTATGTGCAATATCTATCCGCAAGATAGATTTATCGACACTATAAGAAACTATGAACTCTATGACAACACTTTCGAAAATATCAGTTTTTGTCTCTTGGAATTTTGAAGTGGAAGACTTCTAGTGTCACCAGGATTATTGTTGTTCCAGGTAAAATAATGAATTCTAAAAGTATAAATTCTGGTGAAAATTAACTTAATCGATTTATATAATTAATCTTATTATGATTACATTCCTAAATATTAGGCTCTCCTATATATTTAAATAGAAAAGATTTCATAGTAAAATTTTTAGTTAATTTCTAAATGTAGAAAGTACAAATTAAACGATAATTTTATCCAATGTAAAACTTATTTTTAAATAATAAAAAGGCCGATCAATTTTGCGTTGAAAATTCGTGCTTTTATAATACTCTAGAGTGATTGAAGAAGACAAAAAAAGGTGTATTTTTCCTATATATTTAGTAGTTTTTAATTTTAGTCTCACATTATTATCGCACCAGTCAATAGTATACGCATTGCACGTGTGCCTTATCTACATGAGTAAATTTTTTTTTAAAAAGACTATATAAATATATTTTTTTAAAATTATATTTGGGTTATAAAATAAAAGTGTTAGTTCTGAAAATGAAGAACATTGATTTTATATAGCTAGGGAAAATCTGCCACATAGAAGTCTTCAATCATGGTTAATATATTGAAAAAGAAAGAATCATCAGCCAGTATACAAAACTAAACTATACTAATTTATCATAGTTAAATAATAAAGTGAGAAATATTAATTAAATATGATTTAATAATAATATTAAATATAAAGACATGTGTCGTAATATGATAAATTATACTACTATTTTTTATGTTTTATTACCCAATATATATATATGCGGTATCTACAAAAATGATGTTCTTGTGTATATAGTCGAAACCGTTTCCCTATTATATTTGTATGTTTTATTTGTATTATATAGAGGTATGTGTACTGTGCCGATGATAATTTAGTTATATTACATTAATGATAAATCATAATTACGACTATACTACTGCATGCCTAAAAGAAAAAGAAAGCTATTTTTATTGCAAAGGAGTATTATTTTAAAATAAAGGGGATCCTTTCCTTATTTGAGGTAAAATCTCAATCAAAATCAAACTCCTAAATATTAGCACCTAATTGAACAAGGAAAGATTTAATAATCAAAATTTAATGTTAAAATTCTAAATATAGGAAACTAACTTAAATTACTATTTTGTCCACTATGAAATCTATTTTAAGGGTAAAAAAGGCGAATGACATTTCGCTAAGGGCCTTCGTGCTTTTAATATAGTATAGATAGATATAGATTATAATTATCCAAGTATATACTTGTTAGGATATTTTTCCTTTTATTACTTGCTTTGTTTTCACATCAGCGAGATTTTGTTTCTATAATTGCTGTATTTGTTTTCTTTGTTGTTTAATTTTGTTGTTATTTTGAAAGGGATGATTTATCAAAAGTTTATTATAGTAAGAGAATAGACAGATGAACATTATTTTCAATTTTGGTATAGTGGTGTATTTTGCTTATCATATAATCATATAATTTGACTAGTCTTAGGGTACGCGCTTTGTGCGTGTACCCAATACAAATGAATACATTATTTTAAAAAATATAAAATATTATTAAATAATGCGATTGACTTGTACAATAAAAGTTAAAAAAAAGTATAAGCTACTAAAAAGATGAATGGTGATCGCGAAGAAATCTTGGCCATAGAAGTCCTCAAATACATAATTGTGATTTATGAGGACTTCTGAGAGAATATTTTATGAAAATTATTGATATATTTGTGACCTAAGTAAACAAATAATAAGATTTCTCAAATAAAATAAATTTAAAAATTAAATATTTTGGTCTTTTGAGAATAAAGATGTTGGCTTATAGCTCATAAAAAAAAATCGGATAAGTGAAAACATCTAAAAACTACAAATATGGGCTTAATATTTTACAACAAATAATTAAATATATAGAAATATCAAAAATCGTCATTTGTTGAAATAACTAAAAAGACGATGACAATTCTTTAACAATAGATTTTGTCTATAAGTTGAATATGTTTTTTTTAATTAAAATTAGGACACCAACGATGATATCTTTCTTCTTTCATTGGTTAACAAAGCAAATTGCATCTTGCTGAGCCTTAAATTTTATTTTTCTCCTAAATAAAAATATATTGTTTTTGTTCTTCATGCTTATAGCATGCGTGAGCCCTATATATTATGAGTATTGCATAGAAGTTCATATATAAAAGGATTTAATGTGCAATTTTTTAGTTGATTTAAAAATTTTAAATTTAAAGAAATAATTTAATAACTATTTTGTCCAGTGTAAAATTAAAGTTATTTTTAAAAGGTAAAAAAAAAAACTGAACGATATTTTGCTAAGGGTTTCTTGCTATAAAAAATTATCATTTGTTGAAATACTTAGAAAAGAGATGATGACAATTCAGTTAGAATAAAATTTGTCTATAAGTTCAATAACGTTTTCTACCAAACTATGGACACAAAGATGATATTTTGTTGGCCGACGAAGCAAATTGTAATCTTGGTGATTCTAAGTTTTATTTTCGTCAGAAATATTTTGTTTTCATTCTTGTGTGATTCATATATGTAAAGACTAATTTCATAGGAGTTCAAAACATGGAATGTACTAAAATTTTAGTTAATTTAAATTCCTAAAAATTTGGAAAGAAGCTTAAATTATACTTTTGTCTAGTGTGAAATTTATTCTTAAAGGGCAAAAAAACGAACGATATTTCGCTAAAAGTCTTCGTGCTTTTAATATAATATAGATAGATATAGATAGATATAGATAGATAGATAGATAGATAAATAGATAGATATATTAAAATGCTTGCATAGTTATTTTATACTAAGAAATTTTAGAAAAATTGAACAAGCATAATTGCACAATAGAATATGAAGATGAAATAAAAGAACTATATGGCGGTATGGGGAAATTCCGTTTTCTAGGAAGTAAGCATTAAAATCGCACTTATCTAATTTGATTTTATTAACATAAGCATATCTCTGAGTCAATAATGTATAGTTTAGTACAGCGGAAAGTCAACGTTGTTTTTGTTGTTGACTTGCTGTATAAAATAGTACAAACCAAATTAAATTGGATTTAATGATATATCGAGTGATATTTGCTTTAATGGTAAATTTATTTTACGATAAATTAGTAAGTAAGATGTGTCTGATGGAGAATAAGTGAATACATAGTGATGATCCTTATTTTTTTTGCTTCGATTTTCTTATTGATTGGTTCAATACTAAAAAATATGGTTTTTGCGACGATAAAATTTCGTAGCTAAACAGAATAATTCGTCGCTAACCTCATTTAGTGATGGATTAGCGATAGGTTATCAAGAAATTTTGCTAGCTACGAGCAATTTAACGACAGATTAGCGACGACGTTCGTAGCTAATTCCAATTTTTTTTTTGTAGTGATGTTGATGTTGTTGCTTGTTGTTATTCATTTCTTTTTATTATTTTTTAATCGAAAATCTATCAAAACCAGTTTCTCTATGTTCTCAACGTATGTTAGGTTTATTATTGTTGCTAATCCTCTTTTTTGACGGGTAGGGGATAAAAAGTACTTATGAAATAAATTTTACAAGCTAAAAAAAAGACG